TTAGTGGGGTGGAAAGACAATAAATAAATAAGCAAAAGAATGACAGATTATGATAAATGTCAAGAAGAAAATAATAAGATCGGGAAAGCTGACTTTAAAGCTTAGAGTGGACCTTTCTGAAGGGATAACATTTAAGCTGACTAAAAAACAGTTTATCATGTTTAAACAAGATTAAAGGAAAAACCAGAGATAAGATAGAAATTTCTAAATTCATCATGGCAAAAAGATAGAGGAAAAAAGTCTTGCAGCTTGGCAGAGTTAAAAGCTATCTTAGAAAGTATCCAGTTGAATCCCTGTCCACTATAGAAGACCATTCAGAGATACTAAAATCAGAAAGTTATGGAATAGGGCTCAGAATCTGCATTTTTACCATTCTCCAATAAAGAAAACCAGAGCCTGCTGGAGAAATGGTAGATTCCAACCAAATGAGCATTAAGTATCTAGCCATGCCAAAAAGTTAGGAAGTGCTTAAAAAAAAAAGTACATGTCTAAAGGGCATAGAAGCCATCTTGAAGGAGCTACCAATGGCCAAAGCTGGAACAATATGAGCAACAAAACTTAACATAATCGTATTGGATTATAGCCCATAGAAAAAAATAAATATCTATTAGTCCATATGGATATAAAGAATTAATAAATGGGGAAAAGGAAATATATCTGCATAACAGAAGAATTTAAGTTAACAAATGTAAAAGAAATTAGGGAAAGAAGAAACAATGATTAGGCAAACACAACAGAAATAACAGTTCCAAGTAAGAACCACCATTGGATGCTAACGCAGGGTTATTTACATAATCTCAAAGTATCTCCCCCATAAGATACTTACCAATTACAAAGGGAAAAATTTTACAATGGAGAAACCAAGAAGGCATCATCTTAAGCAAGTCAAGATTAACAGCACCAGGAATAAATCGACATCATGTATTCCCTGATAGGATGCACTGAGAAAGGTACAGCATCACTTCTGGGTCTTCTTGGCAAAAATGCATAACCTCCCTCGTCATGAGAAAATATCAGATGAATTCAAATTGAGGGATATTCTACAAAATAACTGGCACCTACTCTTCAAAAAAATCAAGGTGACAGAAGACAAGAAAAGACTGGGAAACTGTCAAAGATTGGAAGGGACTAAGGAGA